TTTATGTATTTATTTATTTGAAAACAAATAAAATATGATATTCATGTGGTATTTGTAAATGTATTTATTTGCTTTTAAAAATATTGAATGAGATATAATATATAGATGAGATAAAAAACGGAATAGAAAACGAAAGGTCTAGAACATTTACGAGTTATTAAAGATAATTAATATAACCAACAAAATAAATCTAAAATTTTATATAAAAAAAAACAAATTATGAAATATATATGAAATATATAGATAGAAAACGAAAAGTCTAGAAGATTTATGACTTAATGAAAGATAATTAATATAGTCAACAAAATAAGTCCAAAATTTTGAAAAAAAAATGAATTATGAAATAATTTTTTCACAAAGTGTCACATAAGAAACTTCATATTTTACTTTTAGATTTATATAAAATAATGATGTCAAATGCTCAATTAAGGACATCTCTGGCTTGGAAAATTTTGTTTGCATTTTGGAGAAAATAATGAAATACACATTTTTCATTCACGGGTAAAAAAGTATTTAACTTATTTAACATTTCATAAATTAAAAACAATAAGAAAATCTCTTGAGAAAATCATATTGACAATGTGCCACAACATTTATTGTAAGTTTATTTAATTAGTAGATGAAAATAGTATAATGAATATCCTTATGAAGTTATGTAATGTGAAAGTTAAAGCTAATTAAGTTGGAAGTGGTCATAGAAGTCTTCTTATAATGGAATACATATTTATCATTTAGGGGTATAATAATATAACTTATTTAATATTATAAAAACATTGACAAATCATAGAAGAGCACACGAAAGTGTTTAGAAGTTTGATCTCCAAGAACGAAGAGGAAAAAGTTGGAGGTTAAGCTTTTTAAGATTACCAAAACAACACTATTTTAATGAATTTCATGTTTTAAAATAGGGATGAAAAAGTCTTTTATATATCGAATATTTTAAAGAAATCAAAAATTTAGGAAAAAAGAAAGATAAGTTTCTAATATTTAGAGAAAGACACCTATTGTATTGGTTTCTCTTATATATATATATATATATATATATATATATATAAACAATTGTTGTGAACGGAGTTTAAATTCGTTTTTATAATATCTTGTAATCATAAAATATCAAAACTTTATTCGAATTTATATGATCCAATCGTAAACACAATCATGTCTTACGATAACAACAAATCTAACAATATTGAAAATAAAAAATATGTAATAACAAATCACATTTTGTAATAATATAATTTTTACACACCTTTTAAAAGCTTTTAAGTTTTCTTCAACTTTTATTTCTTCATTACTCACCAAAGGATTTCTATTAATTGAAAAAAAATTGAAGGAGTCAAAATTTAACGTAATTATCAATCACGTATAAATAATTATTGTTAATAAAACTTAAATTCGAAAAAAGTTTATCATATCCTGTGATTATAAAATATCAAAATTTTATTCGAATTTATATGATCAAATCGTAAACACAATTTATATGATACAATCGTAAACACTACCATATCTTATTGTTAGCATCAAATTGATCATAATAATTATCTCAAAAAGTTTTATTAAGCAATCRGGGCCGCTGTGCTAAATCGATCAAGTATGGACGACAAGAGCCTCTGTGAGAAACGACTAAGTCTGGAGTCAACCATTGGATCGATGGAAAGTTCAACCACTGGATGAACAGT